ATGACCTAAAGGAGAAAACTCTAAGTATTTAATTGTTCAGCAAATTGGCACAATCTTTGCAAGAGGAAAAACTCATGCATGATCAAGTTGGAATTTCAAGGCAAGTTCTTCCAAATATAGATGGATTTTAAAAGCTAACAATACTAAAGGAAAATAACAAAAGTGTAAAATTCTATAACCAATTCCTTCCAAAATGTTCAGTTTGCATGTTAGGGCCCCAAACTAATGAATCAGTTTTTACTATACCCTCCACACCAAAATGTTTTCTAAGAGTCAGTGCAATAGCTCAAACTGAAGCAATGACTGGAGCAGGAAACACGGCCCAAAAAAATGGCCACAGATCTTACCATGTAAATGTAAGAATGTGGACTTATCCAGCAAGAGAACAACTCAAAGACGGAGGAACTCCTTTCACAGAGCCTGGCCCCAAAACATAGGCTAACAACATAGCCTTAGTAAAAAGAAAGTTTACGGTGGTTGGAAAAGAAGGTTAGTGGTGGTGGAAGCATATAATCTCATATTTCATTCTAAACAACCAGAACAGTTAAAACGTTTCTTGGCCTGCTTTTGTAATATGCATGAAAGGCTTAAATCCCATCTAGATTTAGAGTAGTGTTTCCCTGTCTCTAAACAAGAGAATGAGAGGGATGGAAGGCACAACTTTGGTTGCACCAGGTAGATTAGTGTTTTATATACAACTAAGTCTTCCAACTGTGTTGTGAGCTAGATACTCTTATAGGCTAGGCTTGAAGATTAAATCACTACCTAATAATGTAAAATAATAATAAGATCCCCATTTTACACATGAGGAAACTATAGCTCAGAGGTCAATTTGCTAAGGTCCCATAGTCAGTAAAAGATGGGATACAAGGGGACAGTTTGCCATGATTTGCAGTTGTCATGTTCTCTCTCCCCAGCATACCTTCACACAAACTTCTGCCTTGACCTGAAGTGCTTTTACTCAGTACTTACACCTGGCAAACGTCCACAAAACTAGAAATTTCAAAACTAGAACTAAATTTTCACTGCTTTGAGCTTGCCCTGGTGGATGTTTAGCACTCCTCAACTCCCAGCCTCCCCTTTGCTACTTTTATCAGGGCACTTATTACTCTGCTCTACTTACTCCTGTTACCTGAACTATTCCATGAATGTATGCTTAGAGGGCAGGAGGCCGGGGGGGGGCTCCCTTCTTCTCTTTTGCACTCTGCTGGCAGCGAGCTTTACATGTAACAATACATAAAAAATGTGGAAAGGGGAGCCAGAGACTTAACGTATTCGTTATGCATGAATATGGTATGGCTTCAATAGCCGCCTCTCTTTGCTCCTCCTTCTTGTCCCAGACAAGTCAGTTTGTAAATGTTCATCTTGAGAGGAACTCTGAAGTATACACAAAGAACAAAAGACAGATGGAAAAAAAATATCCTTGGCGATAGATATGCATTCTCATTTATACTAAAGTGATCTAAAATCATATGAGCTTTCAGGGCTAATATGGTTTGGCTTCATCCCCACCCAAATCACATCTTGAACTGTAGTTCCCATAATCTCCACATGTGGTGGGAGGGACCCAGTGGGAGGTAATTGAATCATGGGATGGTTTCCTCCATGCTGTTCTCGTGATAGTAACTTCTCGCCAGATCTGATGGTTTCATAAGGGAGGGGCTTCCCCCTTTGCTCGGCACTCATTCTGTCTCCTGCCCCCCTTTAAAGAGGTGCTTTCTGCCATGATTGTAAGGTTCCTGAGGGGTCCCCAGCCATGTGGAAATATGAGTCAGTTAAACCTCTTTTCTTTGTAAATTACCCAGTCTTAGAGCAGTATGAGAAACGACTAATACATGGGCCTTCACAACTCACTGCCCACTCACAAGCAACCAAATGTCAATTAACCAAAAAGTTGATTGGTTCAGTAAATTACATCTCCCTCATCCTGTACTTGCTTATTGTTTTAAACACTTATTGTGTAGGGCTTTACATTTCTCCCAGTTAAATTTCAAATTTGTTAAAAAAAAAAAAAAAAAAAGAAAGGAAAAGTCAGTGTCAAAGCAAACAGTTGCTACCATTTACTGACTATATATGTTAAGTTGTAGATACTGTGCTGCTTACATTACAGGCATTGCTTCATGCGGTCCTCATAATATCAACATGCATTATTATCACTATTCTAAACATGAAGAAAATGAGTCTTGGAAAACATAAGTAACTTGCCTAAGGTCAGAGCTAGGAAACAAACAGATCCATCAGTCTATGGAAAAACTCACATTCTTAATCACTGCACTATACTGGTTAGGTGGGGCAAAGGTGGTGGTCAGCATGTGAGGATACCCTCTGGAAATGAGAGCAAATTCTAGAATCAGTGTTCCCCTAGAGCAATGATATCTAGCTCTGTAAATGAAAATTTGCATTTTTTAGGAAAGTTCAAAGGGGCCCAAATGTCTTTTTAGACTAAAGATAAGTCTCTCATTTTGAAGATAAACATGACACATGTAAATTAAGAAACTCCTGGGTTCCCAAAGTTAATTAGGAGGAGGACTTGCAAGGACTTCAAAGCTGACCTGGGGCTAGACCTCAGTGCACAGATAGCTACTTTTAGTCCAGGTCTCCACCACAGCTGTCTGCTTCCAATTCAGCCTACAGAAGAACTGAATCTACAAAGCTTAACAACTGGGAAAAAATAACCATACATACAGAAAAGGCCTCCAGAAAGGTGCCTTTTATGATATACTGATAGAATTATTCCTAAAGGGCCGGGCACGGTGGCTGATGCCTGTAATCCTAACACTTTGGGAGGCCGAGGCAGGTGGATCACTTGAGATCAGGAGTTCGAGACCAGCCTGGTCAACATGGTAAAACACCATCTCTACTAAAAATACAAAAATTAGCCAGGCATGGTGGCGGGCACCTGTAACTCCAGCTACTGGAGAGGCTGAGGCAGGAGAATCGCTTGAGTCCGGGGGCCGGAGGTTGCAGTGAGCTGAGACAGCACCACTGCATTCCTACTTGGGAGACAGAGTGAGACTCCATCTCAACAACAACAACAACAAAAATTAAAAGAATTATTCATAAAGGACGCCCCCTATTGTGAGCAACATTATTATTATTAAATAACAGCAATTTCGAGTACATGAATTGTCAAACTACAAAGGTATCTGAATGCAACAAACTTGAAATCTTAAAATATTACTGATACCATTACTTTCAAGGTTCCTTTAAGTCATTTCACAAGTCAAATGCACTCTTCTATTCCAGGAGGCATGTGTAAACTAGAACATCAGATTTCTAAAGCATTCAGTTCATTGGGTAGAGACAGTTAATGGAAGATTTTACACACAGGGAGAAACTTAAGAGCCCCTCCCCTCCCTTCCCCTCCTTCCCCTCCCCACTCCCCTTCCCCCTTCTCCCTCTCTCCACACGGTCTTTCTCCCTCACCCAGGCTGGACTGCAGTGAAGCACGCAATCATCGCTCACTGCAACCTCGACCTCTCAGGCTCAAGCCATCCTACTCCCCCAGGCTCCCTAGTAGCTGGGATTATGTAGTAGACGGATGCACAGCACCACACCCAGCTGATTTTTGTAGAGATGAAGTTTCGCTATGCTGTAAAGGCTGGTCTGGAACTCCTGAGCTCAAGCGATCCACCCTCCGTGGCCTCCCACAGTGTTTGAATTACAGGCATGAGCCACAGCGCCCAGCCTAGTTAATATTTTCTTGACAAAATACTTATAATTTTAAAATATCTTTTCCAAAAGAAGTGAAAGCATTGGAACGCAATATAGAATATTAATTTTTTGGTTACAAAAATAATCACTTTACTAGACACCTTCAATGGCAGTTCCCCTTTCTCCTACAGTCTTTTGCATTCTTTACAGAAGACTCTATTGGCACATTTTAATATTGAAGGAATAAAAAAAAAAATACAAAGGAACAAGTGATGTTTACAAAAAAGCTGCACAAGACCAACTTAACCACAAGTACTTGCATGACAGAAGTGGTCGCTTTCCTTTTCACTGGTTTGTAAGTGGTGAGAGCTAAACAGGGAAGAAAAGAATGGCTCTTTGGCAGGTGACAATGGGAAGGGCTGGAGGAAAACACTTCAGGTAAAAAGATCCCCAACAGGTGACCTAGTCTCCAATCGTTGACCTTGAACTCACTTAGCACAAAACCGGGGGGGGGCGGTGGGGGGAGGCGCAAAGACAGATGTACCATACACCTACGTTTTGTTTAACAGAACATCGTTAACTGTATTGAAATGGATACAAAAATGCTTTAATAAGTGAGGAAGATGGTATAAGGAAGCACTTGTTCCCAAAGGAAGTATTCCCAGTGCATCACGTTTTCCAGATTCTGTCAGCACAGACAGTCCCCCCTTTATCTTCCCGCCTCTCATCCAACCTTACAAGTGGCGAAAGTCTTGTCCCCGCAGTCTTTACTGCGGACTCTGCCCAAGTGGCAGAGCAAGGAAAGTTTTGCCAGCCTCCGTCCCCACAGCCCCAAGCAGTCACACCCCAGCAGGCTTAGGCCCACCCGGTCGTTTTCCCTGCCCCTGAACTCAGCTTTAAAATTAATTCGACCTAAAATTAAAGTTTTACAAAATAAATAAATAAATAAAATTAATTCAATCGATTCCCGAGTTCCAAGAAATCATCCTAACAGTGAAAGGCAGGTCCCTAAACGTATCTGGGGTAGACTCCTCCCAGGAGCACAGGTAGGGATACTGCGAGATGAGCGGCTTGGTTCACTCCTGATGCCACATCTGGAAAAGAGTTTGAAGAGGGACTTTCCCAATTTCCAAGTGCAAGAACTTTGAGCAAAAGGAAGGGGTTAGAGACAGCGCTGCGCACGCCCACCCTTTTTCTCCACCCAGCTGTATCCAAGCGCGGGCCGTCCCCTCCTGCGCCGGGCTCGGAGGGCGGGAAGGCGCGCCGCTGCACCAGCCAGGGGCAAACGAAGACCCCCAGCCTGGGACCCGGCAGCCCGACCTGAGCTCTGGGGGTGCCTGCCTTACCTGAGCCGAGGGGCGGCGGAGCAGCGGAGGCCTGGGCTGCGGACCGGCAGCTGGTGGGTCTCGCCCCTGGGGTCACCGGTCCCGGCCCCGCCCCCGCCCCGGTCAGCCCCGGCCGGCCCCGCCCCGGTCCTGCCCCCGCAGCGCGCGAACCCGGCTCGCTCTGGCCCTAGCCGCCCGAGGGCCGGGCGCACCCGCTCTCCCCTCCTGCTGCCCTGACCCGCCGCCTCCCTCCCTCCTTCTCTCACCTGCGGTGGCGGCTGGGAAAGGCCGGCCAGCAGCCTGCGGTTACCTGTCCCCTCAGGGCTGGAGAGAGTTAGCGGGGATTAGATCAAAAGAGCCCAGATGACGTGAACTGTTGACCCCAGGCATTAGCAGAGACGAGGCCTCAACCTTTTTTGTTTGTTTGTTTTGTTTTGCTTTTTGTTTGTTTTTGGGGATACACAGTAGGTGTATATATTTATGGGGTATATGCCATATTTTGATACAGACAAACAGTGTGTAATAATTACATCAGGTTAAATGAGGTTTCCATCACCTCAGCATTTATCCTTTGTGTTACAAACAATCCAATTGTACTTTTAGTTATTTTTTAACTGTACAGTTATTATTGACTACATTCACCCTGTTGTGCCACCAAATAGTAGGTCTTACTCATTTTTTCTATTTTTTTCTACCCATTTACCATTCCCACCTCCTCCCACTCCCCCACCCCTGACTACCCTTCACAGCCTTTGGTAACCATCCTCCTCCTCTCTATTTTCCATGAGTTCAATTGTTTTAATTTTTAGCTCCCACAGATAAGTGGGAACATGTGAAGTTTGCCTTTCTGTGCCTGACTTATTTCACTTAACATAATGATCTCCAGTTTCATCCATGTTGTTGTGAATGACAGGATCTCATTTTTTATGGCTGAATAGTACTCCACGCTGTATAAGTACCACATTTTCCTTATCCGTTTATTGGTTGATGGACAACTTAGGTTGATTCAAAATCTTGGCTATTGTGAACAGTGCTGCAATAAACATGGGAGTGCAGATATTTCTTTGATACACTGATTTTCTTTCTTTTGGATATATACCTAGCAACGGGATTGCTGGATTATGTGGTAGTTCTAGTTTTAGTTTTTTGAGAAAGCTCCAAACTGTTCTCCATAGTGGATGTACTAAGGAGCTTAAACAACTCAATAGGAAAAAATATAATAACTCAGTTTAAAAATGGGCAAAAGGCCGGGCACAATGGCTCACGTTTGTAATTCCAGCACTTTGGGAGGGCGAGGTGGGCAAATCACTTGAGGTCAAGACCAGCCTGGAGTTCGAGACCAGCCTGGCCAATATGGTGAAACCCTGTCTCTACTAAAAGTACAAAAATTAGCTGAGCATGGTGGTGTGTGCCTGTAGTCGATGCTACTCCAGAGACTAAGGCAGGAGAATCGCTTGAACCCGGGAAGTGGAGGCTGCAGTGAGCTGAGATCACACAACTGCACTCCAACCTGGGTGACAGAGTGAAACTCCATCTCTAAATAAATAAATAAACATAAAAATAGACAAAAGACCCAAAAAGATATTTTTCAAAAGAAGACGTACAAATGACAAACAGGCATATGAAAAGGTGCTCAACATCATTGATCATCCGAGAAATGCAAATCATAACTACGATGGGATATCATCTTACCCAAATTCAAATGGCTCATATCCAAGACAGGCAATAACAAATGCTGGCAAGGATGTGGAGGGAAGGGAACCCTCATACACTGTTGGTGGCAATATAAATTAGTACAACCACTATGGAGAGTAGTTTGAAGGTTCCTCAAAAAAATGAAAATAAAACTACCATATGATCCAGCAATTCCACTGCTGGGTATATACACAAAAGAAATCAGTATACCCAAGATCTTTTGATAAGAGATGGAAGGACGTTTTCCTCAAGACTGCATGGGCATGGTGGCTCATGCCTGTAATCCCAGCGCTTTAGGAGGCTGAGGTGAATGGATTACTTGCTCCCAAAAGTTTGAGACCAGCCCGGACAATAGGAGGAGACCCCCATCTCCACAAAAAATACAGAAATTAGCCAGGCTTGGTGGCTGCGCACCTGTAGTACCAGTTCCTCTGGAGGCTGAGGCAGGAGGGTCACTTGAGTCTGCGAATTCAAGGCTGCAGCTAGCCCTGATTGTACCACTGCACTCCAGCCTGAGACACAGAGCAAGACTCTATCAAAAACAAACAACCAAAAGCAAAAAACCCACAAAACAAAAAATGCAGCCTCTGAATAGGGAAAAGACATTACAAGTATCAACAGTGGGTGAAAAATTCAACAATGAAACCAGCATCCTAGCCTGCTGTGGATAGACTAAGTACCTGAACTGAATGACTGGGTGGTTTAGTAAAATGTGGGGTGGGGAGACACTGCTTTTTTTTTTTTTTAAGGTTTCTCAGTTACATGACTTTACCCTCCAAATCCTATTGACTCCTTAGTCTTGGATTCTAAGGCTCCTAGAAGCAGGTTGGGAGAGATTTTAACTCCTCCTTTTATTCACTGATACCTGGTTTCCAAAATATTAAGGACATTTGGCCAGGCCCAAGGAAGATCACTGGTTTTCCATCTCTTAAACTTCACATATCCTGGGTCTTCCTGCATGCAATGTTTCCTACTAGAGCACTCCTCTCGCCTTCTGCATCCTCTGGGACTGGTTCATTTCTTTTCTGGATTCTCACTTCCCTCCTGCAGGTTAGGTGTGCTTGTTACTCACTCCTAATGACCTTGCTTCCTCTGTCATTACACTTGTCACGACTGACTACCATTGCTTGTGCATTGGCCTCCCCTGCTTGACTGTAAGCTCTGTAAAGGCAGGAGCACCAAGCACACAGGAGATACAGAATAAATGTTGCTGAATGATGTGCCTGTGACAGTCAATGGTTAAGGCACTCCCAGCCATCAACTCTTTAATGAATTTCCCTCACCAATCCTTTCCTTCTAAGTCTGCAGGTTCTTACATCAAAGTTAATATCCCCACATATCACCTCATCCCCAAACCTTCATCCTACCTCTTGAGCAGAGCCTTCTCCGTAGTCTTCATAGTTGCAAGTGTAGAAAGAGGTCTAGACCTAGTTGCTCTTGTCTGAGCTCTGCCGTAGCTATCTGAGTGGTCTTAGAGACCCTTGATCTCGCTGTGTCTCAGATCAGGGCTGGTTTATCCATTAGGGACAGTGCCCAGGATCCACGATAATTTGGGGACCCACACAATGAGGGCAGAGAGAAAAGAACAAAAGAACATTTTTAAAGTCAAAGAAAGTCTTGTAATATATAATTTTAATGTATTGGTCTTTGTACCAATGTAGTCACTGACCATGTTGAACTTTACCCAAGTCCTATGATCCTGGAAAACATGGAGGGTTAAAGGAACCCTCCCACCCGTTAGTGTTCTAGAAAACAGCTTATACAAGGAAAGATCCTCCCCATGTGACTTCGATAAGACTTGCTGATGCCAACCTTGTTTTTTTTTTATGACAAAGCTGAACATAGACGCTCCACTGTTTCATTCTTATGCATCATTAATGATTAGCTGAACTGCTTCAACCACTGACCAATGTGGACAAAATATCTGCTACCTTGACTTGACCCAAGATTAGTTAGAATTCTCTCTGTCCCCTGGCCCCTGAGCTTTGACCTGCCCTTTGCCTGAGCCATCATACAACCCATCCTTAAGAGCCCTTCCTGAAAATAGGGTGATCATAGGGTAGAATTTTCTCTTTTCTACCGTAAGATCATTCACCCTAACTCATCCCACTTTTCAACATCCTGTTATTTCCAGCATTGTTTATTCCTTCCTAGAAAAGAAAAGACCTTTTCTGCCTAACCTTTGAGAGGTTTGCATATCTCAGGATTAAAGTTTTCTTCCAATTGCGATAGTCCTCCTCCTCCTATTGAAAGTCACTTTCTCTCCATTGCAATACTGCTTTAGAATAGAAGTCCTTGCTCACCCAAGTCTGTATTTTTAATTCGATATTGTAAGATATAATTTTTAATATTGTTTATAAATGAAGAGGCCTCCCCAAAGCAAAAATGCCCATTAAAATCATAATGTGAACCTGCCTCGGATTCCTCACTGTTAAATGGAGAAGCTGAATTAGGTAGACCAAGATACCTTTTACCAAAATTAATGAGTTCAGAAGCACAATTATGGTGTGCTCTTGGTTAGTCAGGAGGAAGCAACTGACAGAATGACACGCCCACCTCATTTGTTATACCATCTTATTCATTGCTACTTCTTTGACTGGACTCAGGGCTGTTCCAGTGCCTGCCTTTTGGGATAAAATAGAGGTCTCTAAGGCTTCATTTCTGAAAGTTCCAGCACACAAATAATACCTTTGATTGTGTACCAACCTATATGTATTTCTTGGGTCCTGACACAGTGGATATTGGTTATAGCAATAGTTTGTCCCTCCCTCCCTCCATTTCTTGTTTTCTTATTCATATAGTATATGATATTATAACTGAAAAACCTCCATAAGTTCTAAAGTAAAAACAACATGATATGCAATTTGATACCTCACCCATTCAGATGAAATTTCATAATTTCCCCACTTCTTTAAGAAGAGCTCACTTTGTGCTTGCTTCGACAGCACATACAGTAAAAATGGAATGATACAGAGAAGACCAGCCTCTGCCTTGCACAAGGATGACATTCAAATGTATGAAGCATTCCATTTTCCAAAGTGAAATAAATCATAATTTTTTTAAAAAAACAAAGGATTGGACTTTTAGTATAATTTGTTTTCCAAGATTAAATATACATTAAAATAAATATATAGAAGAGGAAGAGAAAAATATTTATCCCAAACTATAGCAATCTAAAACAACCTTTAGTATCCTTTTTTCAGTGTATTTCTTTCTTGCCTCTTTGAAAAAGTACTTGTTTATGTATTTGTAATGTTATACAGATACAATTTATATCCTTTTCCTTAAACATTACATTATAAGAAGTTTACCTTGTTGCTACACTGTCTTCATAATCATCCTTTTTAGTAGCCGCATAATAGACCGTCAAATAGATGCTTTGTAATATGCCTGC